GAAAGAGATAAAAAGAGATGCCTACACTGTTTGCTGGCTCACACAGAGAGTCATGCATGTGTTTAATGTGAATGTTGCATAAATTGTGCTTTCAACACCTGAGCTGTCAGTTTGGTGCCCGCCTTTGACAGTTAGATTGATCCTTCTCGTAAGACAGCAGATGCCAGTGTTTGCTCAGTTTGCCATGTTCACTATGTTTATAGATGACAAACTCCCTTTCACAAACACACAATGTGTACACACGACAATAAGTAGACCGACTATACTTAACGCAGAGGATAAGCTTCTATCATCTGTTGGCATGGCATATTTGAAAAGAAGTTTCAGATGAGGAATAGTTAAAAATGCAAGGCTAGTATCGCGTTACGAAGTGTGTAAACTTAAAAGCGCCTTCTGTTACCTGTAGGCTTCTCAAAATCCCATGACTAACAGCACAGACATCACAGCATGTGTCAGCATGTATCAATTTAGTGGGGTGGGGTTCTCTGTGTCCTGAAGAATAGGTAAAAAAAGGAAATTTGTCTTCCTATCTAAGGACAATACATTTGCTGTACTTTTGCATGACCTCAAGGTTACTGGTACATTACCAGCACTCCCCAACTGCGCTAATCAGTTTGATACAGTTGAAATAAGCAGAGTAGAGGTTCCCGGCACAACTTCATCACTTCCAATTTGCATGGAGAAGAGGAAAAAAAATTGGAAGAGGCCCAAACTCCAGGAACACTTGAAACGTTTGTGTTTTGGCTGGTAGACTTCACCAAGTTGCTACAATTTTGACCTTTTTATACAGTAAAGATTACACAAAAATCTAACTAAAATACCCAGCAATGTTTTACAAGCAAAAAATACAATACAGCAAATACATTTTGCCAAATTTGACAGTATTCAGACTTTGAAGACACCTCAATCATTAAGTTAAATTAAATTTACCTCATCATTAACAGTCAAGGATGACAATTAAGGTTACATGTGCCATAAAACACAAACTAATCCAATAGGGGGCTACCTTTAGTTAGCAACTATTAGATTCTATATAAAAATCATAAAAGTAGTTATGTTTGAAGCCACTCTTTAAACCATTTAATAAAATAAAAGATCTGGCGGGTTGCTAATGTTCATATGGTTCCTAAATATCATTACAGCAGTACGTGTAGCTGTTTAACCTATTAATAATCAATCTAAGCATCCGTTAATCACCGTTAGAGTAAAAGTTCCTGATCAATGCTTGCAAAGGTTTGCAATTCGGCTCTCACATTAAAGTCGTTTAAGTTTTGATCCATTTTTCGATCGGTATCCAGAAACTAAGAGTCATTCTCACAGTAGTCTAATGCGCTCTCTCGCTTTCCTAATCCAGTGATTAGTCACGACCCGCTATTGATCGTTCGCAGAGTTCCCATTAATTAATTACACTTTGCGCGAAGCGGATACGATTCATTAACCTTGCCACGCCCACATATTTACCTTTGAAGACACTTGACGTTTGTGTTTATGCGTGCAGAAAACTTATTCGGTCGTTCCAGTAAATGTTTGAACGTGGCCATTCACGAGGAAAACAAAAACAAAGCGGCAGCTTTAGCTCACCTCCCAACCGCACAAATCACAACCGCAGCGTCATTTTACCTTCCCTCGACCTGCGACACGCAGTCGGTCAGTCATTCAGTGAGGCTGTTTGTCAACGAAAACAGAACCAAAACGGTGCACTAACCGGTAACCGAGGCGCTCACTCGTGCTCGCACATGGGAGTGTTTCTTTGGCCACCGGCGTAAAAGCTCCGTCGCTCCAAAACACTTCTCGCTTGCGAGACCGCGCCTCCGCTTTTAATCCAGCACGGAGTCCTCCGTGTAGCAAACTCGAGAAAGCGGGGGATAAATATTAGCTTTAATTCAAAGAGCGGGTGAGAGCGCCACAATATCGATGGGTTTGAGTGTGCCTACTGTTTCCGACACACCGTGTGAGACTGTGGCGACCAGGGCCGTGCAAAGCCGTTTCGGGTTCCAGGGCGAATGATTTACTCCTTATGGTCCAACTTCCCCTGTTGTCAGTACTGAACTCACTTGTTCCTGCTGAAGGCATAGGTCATTCCAAATGGCTCACTACAATTTCAATTCATTTTTAACCTCATATATCCAATGTTACATTCTCCATTTACATTTATTTCACGTGTCACATTCAACATAGTAACTTAACGCTCACCAAATGTTTTCTGTATATGCTGTGGAATCTTGTCACCGTGTAAATATGAAATGAAGAATTTGAAAAAGTGGCAGAGGCTAGTTTGTATAATATTAGATGTAAAGCAGACATAAGCAACCAATTAAACAACAACACAAATACAATGTATTTTATTTTTGCAACTATGAGGTAACATATCAAAGTTGAAAGATTGTTAATAAATTATGCTATAAAATCAAACATTTTTAGAAATAAATGCACATTATTCAAATTTTTGTTGCAGTTGACTATCAGTGTTACATTTTGACATTAATATGATATAATTTAAAATGTAAAGCAGACCTAAGCAGCAAATTGAAGAACATTGTAAATGGAATGCATTTTATTTGTGTAATTATGTGGTGACATATCAAGGTCAAAGCATTGTTAATATATTATACCCTCAAATATAACACTAAAGAAACAAATGGGATATTTTGTAACTGTGTAACAGCCTTACATTCGTTTTTACTCTTGTATCACAGTCACCTCAAACACCTTGAGACAACTGTTGTGAATTGGTAGTGTATAAATAAAATTGAATTGAATTGATTTGAATGATATCATTTTAAACTTAAAGCAGACAATACAGATGCGAATACTGCAGCCATTCCCCAACTCTCTGTGAATGGTTCTCATGGCCATTGATCAATGGGCTTTGATCAGTGGTTGGTGATCAATAGTTATGACAATTTGCATATTAATGATCAAGGAACTCACCTCAAAGCCCAGTGTTCATTCAGCGGGCTAGTTTCAGTCACTGTGCAAATGTACTGTTTGGGGAAACCTGCAGTCAGCTGAGACTGAACAAGTCACTTGGATGAGTGACGAAACATTTCTCCCAGTGAAAACGCTACATCCAGATGAACAGAAGACCTGTATGATTGAGCATGCATCAAGACGACTTACTGTGCAGAGTTATTTGTGAAACACTAAGCCACAGTGCCTACAGATGCATTCTTTCTAATGGCCTGCAGGGGGCAATGGATCCAAAAACAAGTAGGATTATATAAAGGCGAATAAGAAAATCACCCAACTGGTAATGAGCTGATGAAGTTTTGATCTGAATCGCTAGTTTTAGCGTTTAGCATCAGGTACATTTTGTAAATTTAGTTCACTATGGAGTAAAATCAATACTAAAGAAGTGACTACTGTATGAGCAGGCACTTCAACCCCTTGCTTGTGATACCTAAGATGACTAGACATCCAGTCTATGAGTGTAGTTCACTGATGTATTTCTTTTATAAGCTGCCTATAATGCATACTAGTTAACAATTAAATCTTCTTAATTTTGGTCTTTTCATGTGGTACACGACCTTTGAACAAGGCAAAGAAAAAAAAGTTGGGTTTTTTTGCCTTGTATTACAAGCTGATTTGATTCGTATAAGTTTACACTGCATATTTCAAAAAGAGAACCCAATCTTAAGAAACTAAAATGAATCCATATATGCACATTAAAGCACAAATGATGAATCCGTTTACTATGCAGCAGCAGGTCCAGTGTAACAGCAATAATTAATTAGGCTGTAGCATCAAGGAAATGACGCATGCGTAACGCTTTATACAAACTGCCTCAACAAGGTCAACCTGACATATTTCTCAACCTGAGCATGTGATTATTCTTAACCACTGCTTTGAGTCATTACCCACAGTTACACCAATCACTCCCACTGGCCAGAAAGGTTTCTGACTCAGAGGCATCTCCACCCTGCCAGCATTGTTTGCGTTAATTGTCATGCAAAGTAACTGCAATTCCCTGGTGTCCCTTTGAGTTCCTCTGTCCACATTTAAAATCAATCAGCCTTCCATTACTTGCATGGACAGACAGAGCATTTCCTCTCGGAAACAACAGTTGTGAAGCCGTTAAACAAGCGTGCAACAGGATTAAACAGCATACCATGGGCATTACAGCACACTGCTCTTCCTCCTGTCATTTCCTGTTGATGATCCGCTTTCTTCCATAGCGGCCTAAGTTGGCCTCAGTTTATAAGGTTGGGTGAGATGTCACACTCACTTAGCACATGGAGAATATAAACTATTTAGGGCTCAAGTG